CGTCTTTATTATATTAATTCAAAATCAATCCCTGGACGGTTTGGTGCTTTCTGCAGATTTTTGTGGTAATGCAGCCAGGTGCGACATCCCACAGCTCATGAGGTTACTTCATAGCTCACAAAATCATTTTGATGGATCCTGAAAGCCCCAACAATCACTGTTCTGCTAAACTTCCTCTTGTCCGATTATTGAGATAATTTCGAAAGATGAACCTTTCGGCAGCGCAGAGCGGTAAACCTTCCGCTGCTGACTATCCACCCAGAACATCAGCTCACGTCGCGGATCAAAATCGAGCGCTATGATGTCACTTTGATCTCCATTGCCGGCTGCATGGCGATTTGTCCCGCCAGCGTGTGCGAGACTTAGCTGAACCACGTCACCATCTGCTGCTACCATTATAAGCGGGGCATCACCCTGCAAAAGAATCGCAACGAATATTTTACCGGTATGAAATCTATGAGTGCAAATATTGAAAAGCCCTCACCAGAATTCGAAGCGAAATGCTTTTCCGGTAACTCGATTGATCTCTTACAGTTATCCTCCACGTCCTCCCTCAATCCTTTCAAAGTCACCTACGTTATCGGTTTATCGGTCTTAATGTTAATGAAATGCAGCCAAATCACGAATACGTGCAGTACGAACCGCAAATCAACACGAGATGCCCGTTCTCCAAAGAGTACTTCCCCTCAAACTCGATTTATCCTCTACAATTATCGTTCATCATAGCTTTAATAGATTCTAATTCATCTTACCTTTAGCAGATTTACCTTTTGCGTTGCAAAAGTGCAAAAAAGTATTAAACCCAGGCTGGAACGCACCAAGTGGGCCGGTGTGATTATGCGTTTTTGCATTTTTCGTGCTGTAGCAAGACCGTCAGGAATCACAGTAGCTAACCTTGTGGCATACGGGCCCTCGAACTTCGGGAAGTTAACTGTGCAACTGCGTGGTATGTTAGTTGTAGATGTCGACTTCACTGACCCGACAAACTGAAAGTTACTGGTCCGCACAAAAGGCCGCACTACAGGAGTTAAATTTGAAATCTTTTGGTCACACATGAGTAGGGAACATTACCCTGAAGTTTCAACTTTCTAGCTTTTCCCGTCCCCGGGTTAGTAATTTTCGCGCCAAATTTTTCACGTGCCCGTGCGTAAGCCCCGGGCTGTCCTAAGGAGCTGAGTTTGAAAACTTTTGTTCGCTCGTTATTATGGAGCATTCCTCCAAATTTTCAGCTTTCTACCTTTTCTCATTCTCGAGTTATGAATTTTCCAGCCATAATTTTCACCTGCCCGTACGTAAGCCCCAGACAGTCTCGGGCAGCTGAATTTGAATCTTTTGTCTTACACGGGCAGGGAACATCCCCCTAAGGTTCCAGCCCCCCAGCTTTTTTTTCCCGAGTTATCAGTTTTTCCGCCAAAACTTTTAAGTGCTCGTACGCGGGGCTTAGACGCGCGTCAGAGTTGATACCGCAGCCCTGGGGTGGCACTTGGCTGGGGAACACACTGGTAAAACTCCAGCTTCAAAGCTTGCGTGGTTGGCGAGTTGAAATACCCGGACAGATGAACACACACACAAACATACACATACACACACACACACTGGTAGGGTCGTTCCAATATGCCTTTTTGCCGCCTGTTGCAACGCTATGGCGCTGCACGGCAAAAACGTATAATCACTGGCGACGCGAATTTGCAGTGTTTTGTGCTGCAATAAGATCACTCGAAATTCCGCTAACTAGAAACATCTTGTACATACTGGTCCTCGAATTTCGGGAAGCTAATTACCCACGTCATACATGGGCAGGAAACATTCCCTTCAAATCCCAGGTTCTCAGCTTTCTCAGTTCCCGAGTTACCCAAATTTCAGTCAGAAAATTTCACGGGGCCAAACGTGGCAGCCACACGTAAATGGGGGCTGAATTTGATAAATTTAAGTTGTCGACGAGTTGTAAACATTTCCTGAAAGTTTTAGCCTTCCAATTTCCCTAGTTCCGGAGTTGTCCATTTTCCCGCCAAAAATTTTCACGGGGCCGTACGTAGCAACCACGCATAACGGGGGGTTGAACTTGATAAATTTAAACTGTAAATGAGTTGGGAACATTCCCTGAAAGTTTCAGCCTCCCAGCTTTTTTGGTTCCCGAGCTAGCGATTTTCGCGCCAAAAACCCTCACGGGGCCGTACTCGGGAAACGCGCACACCTCGGGGCTGAATTTAAAATCTTTGAGTTCTACATGAACGGGAAACATAACTTCAAAATTTCAGCTTTCTAGCTTTTCTGGTTCGCAAGTTTGCAGTTTTCCAGCCAAAACTTTGAGGCGCTCGTACGCGGGGCCTAGACGTGCAAGAGGATTGGTACAGCGATCCTGGAATGGCACTTGGCGGGGAATCAACTCGCAAAATTTTGGCGCCGGAGCTTGCTTGGGTGACGAGTTGAAATACCCGGAGACACACACACACATACACAGACCGGGATTGTCACAATATGTGTTTTTGCATATATGCAAAAACGCATAAAAACGAGGAAAGGGTGTAAACCAGGCTGGAACACACCAGGCGAGCCGGTACGATCATGCGTTTTTGCATCAAACTTTGAGGTACTCCATCATTATTTCCCTGTACTTGCCTCACCCCTCCATTCGCTGCTCTCGCCCCTCCCT